AGAGAGAGAGAGAGAGAGAGAGAGAGAGAGAGAGAGAGAGAGACGCGTAAATGCGCGCGGCGGCGAAGGTGCGGCAGGTAGAGTAAGAGGCAGACAGAGAGAGAGAGAGGAGAGGCTGCGGGAGATAGCGAAGAGCGGCTGGGAAGGGACCAAGCGAGCAAGAGTAACTCAATTTCCCGTCTGACAACTGCTCAATCGCAATTAACAAACTGGAGGAGCGCCTCGTGCAAACTCGCGCGCGGCTGTTCGCGCGGGATGCGAAAAGAGTGTCTGGGGCGTTAGATTTCGCGCTGCCTCGGAAGTGCCACACGAGAGGGTCGGTCGAATGTTGAAACGTAGAGAGGAAGGGTAGGAGAGAACGAGAGAAAGAGAGAGAAAGCTCGGCGGGGTGGTGGGTGGTTCGGAGAGAGCGCGAGAGGAGGGTGTTCCCTCCGGAGAGGAAGCAGAAGAGAGGATCGTGGAGCGTGAACGAGCGCGAACGAGTGCGAGTGCGGACGAGTGCGGATGATACGAAATACCGTGTCGGCGCCGAGTGTGCGGCTGCACACTTATCGTGACAAAGGCACCGTCATTGTGTCGGTTGCAGGTGTGGTTCAGTAATCGTAGGGCGAAGTGGCGTCGAGAGGAGAAATTACGGAACCAGAGGAGGGCGGCCGTCGATCAGGTGGTTGCCGGCGGCAGCGGCGGGGGTAGCAGCGGCGCCGCACCCCCCGCGGCCACCCCCGCTACGCCACGGTTGCCCTTAAACGCCGGATTCAACGCCATGTACTCGTCGATACCGCAACCAATCGCCACCATGCCCGACACGTACAGGTAGGAGAATCTCGTGATAAGCCATCCGCATTGTTCCCCGTGCCTCTCTTGAACGTAAAAGTTAACGCGAGAACAAGTACGACAAGGACGCGCGCGGTGACTCACTGAGCCGCGAGATCTCTTGTTAAAAGCTGAGATAATTATTTCCATTTTTTTTATCAACAGACTTTGTGGCATGCTGCACATTTTTCTTTTCCCTTTACAATTTTTGTCATTTTAACGCAAAACATCTCGGTAGCTTGCTCAGCAGTTTCAAAGACTTTGTTAGTTACCTGTCTCGTCTGTTATTGTTATTGTTATCGTCGTCCGACGTGAATATTCTTCTCGTTCGCAGCTCGATGTCAAGCAGCCTGGGCGGGTCAATGGGTGGAAGCTGCCTTCAGCAACGTGCCGAGGGCTACCCGGCGTACGTATTCCACGAGCCGCTTCATTCGCTCACGCAGTCTTACTCTCACGCGCACAGTGCGGCCGCGCACTCGCAACCTCACCGTGGCATCCCGACGTCTCACGGCGGCACCCCCACGACGCCTGGAGGACAACCCGGTCCAGGTGGAGCACCCTACCAGCCGACGACCTCGACCGCGACCGGTGAGTTCTCATCACAAGTAATTTGCTGTGTTTCCTGCTTCCCGAGCTTCCAAGGTCATTCGCCAGTAATTTAGGTTGCATCAAAAATAATCGTTTGCACAAGAGAACCTTCAATATCGCTGCGCATTAGGGATTGCTCGAAATCTACGACAATCAAATATCGAGCCAGTTTTTTCATTTTTTTAGTTCTTTAGAGAACTTTCTTCTCAACTTCGGTTTTTATGAATTGGTTCTTATGAATTTGTTCTTTCGAAATATTTGCTTAAAATCTTTCGCTATGATTATCCCTCCAATGAGAGTACCAAAGTCTTTCGTGCACACGTATTATGCCAACGGCTGCGAGATTCTTCCGTAGCTTTTCAATTGCTCAGATGGAATTTCGAAATCCCCATCGAGGATGTTCGAGGATTCGGGAGTGCATCGGAAAAACGAACGAATCCGCGCCAGAAACCAGCACAGGTTTTCGTTTCCAATTTTCGCCCTGCGTTGCTGTGCCGTTTCTTCCCCGTGCTTTAGCCGGCTCAAAGCGCGAAATAAAGCGTCGAGAATTACCTGGAAGCCTCTTCACACGCAATCTACATAGCCCCGCTATCAGAGGGAAAGAGAAAGAGAGAGGGAGAGAGGGAGAGAGAGAGAGAGAAAGAGAGAGAGAAAGAAAGAGAGAGAGAGAGAGAGAAAGAGAGAGAGGAACAGAGAAAGGGAGAAGGGCGAGAAAGAGCGAGTGAGAGAGCGAGCGACGGCGCGGTCGCGGCTACACGCTCGCCCACGGAATTGTAAAAGGATTTTAAAACAAATCTCGCATGGCGCCGCCGGGCTGAATCGAAGAATGGGATGTTCGGCGGTTTTCCAACCCCGGCGATGTAGCTGGTGAATTTTCCATTTTCTCGACTCTGCTTCTGTCTCTCTCTTCCCTTCCCTCTTCCTACGTGCCTCTTGGTTCCTCCGCTCGGGTATTTCTTTTCTCTCCCGAGTCTCTTTCTCACAGCCTCCCTTTCTTTCCATCATCCCTTTTCTTCGTCTATCTACATCTCACCCCCTCGCCTCCCGTTTAGCGAAAGCCATGGAGGGTCGCGCCTCCTCTCGCAGCCTGCGCCGCCTCGTTCTCTCCCTTTCTCTCACCCCCTTCGCCTCTATACCCTTCCATCCTCGGGGGTGCGCTCGCTCCTTCGTGTCTATCCATCTATCCGTCCCTCTCGTCGCCCTCTGGTTCCCCTTTCGTCTCTTTCTCCACGTCCATCTCTCTCTTTCTCTCTCTCTCTCTCTCTCTCTCTCTCTCTCTCTTTCTCTCTCTGCCGCTCTTTCTCGCTTCCTCTCCCTCCTGAGGATATACAGGGGTGAACAGAGGATGTGGATGGGTTGGGTCTCGCCTCGGCTGGGCGAGCGCTCAATAACGTGCGAACCCAAAGGGGAGGAAATACGGGGGTGCGCGGCGTACCTACAGGAACGGAGCGGAGCGCAAGCCGGAATGGTGGAATACTGCGGAACACGCGCGGTGTGTCCCACCCCGCTGTCCCTCTCGCCGTCCCACACTCTTTTCGCGGCCGCCTTTCTTCCTTTCCGCTCTTTCGCCCCCTCGTTTTACCGTCCCTCCCGGCTGTCCCCGCGCCCGCTCCTTACGTGCGGAACGAGCCGCGGGTTATCCATCATAATCGCTTTACGTGCACGAGCGCCGTAAGGACTTTCACCGCGCTCGTTAGCGCCGCGCCTGTCCCGCCAGCTCTAACGGCGCCGTTTTCATAGCTAAGTAGCCGTACCCCGGAGTTAGCGTCCGACCGCGGAAACGCGCGTAACCGCCCGAGTCTGCCTCGCAGCTGGCGGACGTGGACGGCGAACGGGAGTCACCGGGATATTCGATTAACTCCCGACCAGACGATGCCGCATCTTTCCACCTCGGACGTCAAGTTCGAGATGGAGTTCCTGAGAGACTCCTGAGAGACGCGATTGAATGCGCCTGAGATGTTCCTGGAACAGTCGTGTATGACTGAGAGGAATAGCGATTCTTGACTGAGAGGAATAGCGACGCGGAGACATTGACAATTTTCGGGCCAGTTCTATTCCGTCAGACTTTGACGAGTAAAATTTGCTAACAACGAATAGATAATGAGATCTACACCGAGAGAAAATAAATGGTTAATATAATTAAAATATTATAGGTTTTTTTGACCCATTTTGCTACGAAACATATTGTTCCGCAACCATATTTTTTTAGTAAAATAGCAGTAGTAACACGCATATAAAGTTATCATTGATATTATATTTGATAAAAAAATAATAGTTTTCTCTTGTCTATAATTTATAGTAATTACTTTCCTATATGATTATAATTACAAATGCCAAACATTTTTTCTCAGTGCACTTAGTATGGAAAATCCGGTTTAGATAGCCCTAGGAATATGTTGCTCATATGCTTTTTTTAGTATTTATCTTGAAAGAGCAACAGTGGATGTACAAAATCGGAATGGTCCGTTTAGAATATATTTTATTTTCTAAGATATTTTATATATGTATTTAGAGATAATTTTTATTCTGAGTTTTACTAAAACAGGAATAATATTAAATAAAAAAAAATAGAAAAAGCTGATTTAGTAGTAGCAAAGTCAATTTCCGGACCTCTCGAAATTTTGTACTAATATTCTTCATCGTGAGTGAATAAATTTACGCGACGTATTGCTGGCTACAATCAAGTTTCTTGCATGATATGTTGTTTCGGATAATAAAAGCAATTTTCGTTGAATGTAATGATTAAAATCGAGCATATGGACGGAGGAGATAAAGTTGGCTCATAATTAAAGGCCGGCAAGAACCCCGGCCGGTAGAAACGGAGACTCCAGAATGACTAATCAAGATACATATTTTATGTGGCTTTACTTGCGCTATTCGGTAACTAAACCCAGTAACAAAATAAGATCACCACGTTACTGTATGTTCGTATTTTGATTATTACAAAATATACAGTTAGCAGGGTCGTGGCGGGCGTTAATGCACAGAAGAAGGCTATCATGTTTGTAGAATCAACAATTAGTTGTCTAGAGAAGTTGCAACTTCGAAATTCCGAAATATGGGCTACTCCGGCTCTTTTACATCAATTTTCACGTCGATATTCTCGACGCGTTAACCTCTCGTGCTACAAAGATGGGTTACGTGGTTAATGCAATTATGGCAACGACGTCGTCGTCGTCGTCGTCATCGTTGTAACGCTCGCCAAATCGTCCGTCTTGCATTTACGCTATAATTGTAGCCCGCGCTCGAGGAACGAACGAAGTTACGACGTGGAGTCGTATAGACTCGGTAAATGTTTTCGCGCAAGTTTATATTAGATTAGACGCAGCTCGTTAAGGTGTTTAATTCAAATTGCAGAAGTGTGTGCAGCCGCGGCGCGCGCGACTATCATAGCCGAATCCTATTTATGCGGCCGCTGCCGCGAGCGACGCTCGCGAATCGCGTCTCTCGCCTTCCGTAAATACGTGTTTGGTCGTTTTTAGCGAATTAGCCGCGTCGCGTTTCACGCGATTAATGACGCGCTTTCTCGCGACTCGTGGCCGTCGCTAGGGCTGACGACAGCGAGTCGCCCGACGCGTCAATGTTCACGCGAAGAATCGATCTGACGCGACGTCTCGACATTGGTAAAAAAATTTGCGTCTATATATATATAACGGTAAAATAAAATAAAATAAAATCGTTAAATATCATGGTGATAAACGATGAGTAATGTTTGTATCGAAGTGCTAGAGGCAATCACGTTCAACGTCAACAAACGACGATAATAATGGGTAAATTTCTCGGATTTTCATTCGAAACGAGTGAGAAGTGGCTGTATTTTCACTTAAGGCGATAGTGAAAATACTGCCACACGAAATCGCTAGAGTGAATGTTTTACTCAACTTTAGAGTGTATCCCGGTCCCATATCAGTGTATGTTTCAATCGATTGAATATATGCCTTTAACAATGGAATACATACATCCTATTCATTTTTCAAGGTCGAGTGAAAACATTCACTCGACGACTCAGAATGGAGAATTCATCCTATATGAATGAAGTCATTCGAAAAGTCATTCTATTTTTCGAGTGAAATTTCCTTCCAAATGTGTGAGAAGCAGCAGTGTTTTCACTCGAAGCATTAATAAAAATACTGCCACTCGAAATTGTAAGAAGGAATATTTCACTCAAGTTTAGGGTAAATTTCCGACTCTATATTAGTGTATATTTCAATCGATTGGAGTGAATATGTCTCTTTAACAGTGGAGTACATACATCCTTCAATTCATTCTTCAATGTCGAGTGAAAACATTCATTCGACGATTCAGAGTGGAGAATTTATCCTGTATGAATGAAAGTCACTCGAAGTCGAAAAGTCATTCTACTTTTCGAGAGAAATTTCCATCAAAATGAGTGAAGAGCAGCAGTGTTTTCATTCAAACCAATAATAAAAATACTCACTTAAAATCACAAGAATGAGTATTTCACTCAAGTTTAGAGTGGATACTGACTCCATATGAATAAATGTGTCAATCAATTAGAGTAAATATGTTTCTGTAACGGCAGCGTATATTAAATGCATTCTTGAATCTCAAGTGAAAATATTTCTTGATTAAAAGTGATTAAAAGTAATTAAAAGTGGAGAATATATTCTAAAATTATTCGGATTCAAGTGACTTGAATTCGAATAATTTTTTATAATTTTACTTCTCAAATGAGATTTCACTCCGAGAAATTTAGAAAGTATCTTCTAAATTTCCCAGAGAGATTGAAATCTCCTTCTAAATGAATGAAGAGTAGCAGTATTTCTATTTGAGGCGATAATGAAAATACTGTCACACGAAATCGCAAGAGTGAATGTTTTACTCGACTTGGAGTGAATTCTGACTTCATATGAGTAAATGTTTCAATTGAATTATTCGATTGATTAGAATAAATATGTGACGGTGGAAAATATGTCAGATTCACTCTTCAATTTCGAGTGAAAATATTTATATATTCAAATATTCACATATTTTGACAATTCTAAGTGGAGGGTTCACTCTAATATGAACCTCTATGTGAATGAAAATATTCACTCGATTCAGAATAGAGAATTCGCTTTACACACAGAAAAATCTTATTTTACTGCTAAGAAGAGCGATTAATTAATTTTCCTTCTTTTAAGTAATGGCTGATTTCAACGAATAATATTTTCTTGGTAATAGTCTTCAGATATGTTCATCACACACTTGAGAAAAAACTCATTCACCATGTACTCAAAAGAAAAATTTATTTTCTCTATTATAAAACTGTACCAAAGAAAATGTTGAGTCGGCTTTACATAATAAGCAAATTGAAATTTTGCTTTAATCTAATATTCCTGACTAAAATGCTGAATTCACTAGGGTTCAGAGTGTATCCTGAATAAAATTAACATTTATGATGAAAACTTATGATAAATTTGCGGATGCTTTTGTAAAATATTTAAAACAGATAACATTTATATAAATGTAGTATGCACTTTTCTGTGCGTATATGGGGGAAAAGTCACTTGAGCGGCTCGATGAGATGCTTCTCGAATAAGATTTCACTCCAAGGAATTTAGCGAGTACCTTGGCGAAATGAAATTTCTATCTGTCACACCGCGCTTCAATTCCCGCTATCCTTTCCACCTGCGTACGCTTCGGCCGGAAGACACCTCTTATATCCGTCCGTTTTCCCGAAGCCTCGACAGTTCTCGTTCCGTCGCTCGCAACGCGCTCAATCCTCCGATACCTCGAATTGTTCCAGGCGTGATATCGGCTGGCGTCTCGGTGCCGGTGCAGATCCCGTCGCAGACTCCGGACCTGGCGGGCAACTATTGGCCAAGGCTCCAGTGATCCCAGCTCTTCGGGTTCCCGCCCGCGAGCTTGCTCGTAGGCCAGGAGAGCCCGCCGCCGCCGAGCGCCACCCCGGGCGCGGTGCCTCGACCGCTCCTCGCGTCCCTCGGGATACCGACGCAGTCGACGCAGCATCAGGCCCCGAGCACACCGGCGACCACTCCCGTGCACAATTCCGACACCAGTGAGTGAATCGACCGATATTCTCGTGCGACGCGCCACGCGCTAACCCTCATCGCGCAGAGACTCGCCCTGTCCAACTGAGAGACGGCAGGGCGCGATGTCGCCGTTCGCCGACGGCGAGGCGAGCCGTCGCGACGCCCACGGACGAGAGATAGAGACGCGCGAGGAACGCCACGAGGGAGGGCAGGTCCGCTGCGATAAAGCGTGACGCCGTGTGATCGCCGTTCGAGGACGTGCAGTTAGTGCATTGCGCTGATGCGTGGGACGGACCCGACGAGTGACGACGCGCAAGTGCTCGAAATTTCCCTCCGTCGTCTCGTAAGTCGAAGAGAAGTCTCTTTCGTTCGATACCGTCGGCTATCTCGCGGCTTCCGGGGGAAGTCGCGAGGCCTGCCTTCTTACCGGGAACGTTGTCCGTCGAGTGCATGCTTCGTGAACGATGTCGCGCGCGAGCGACGGGATGACGACCGACCCGGGACGGGTACTCGATTGTCCACCGGTGCCAATGATACCACTCGCCTCGACCGTACTTACGATCTTGCCGCAAACCGAATGAATGACTCGCGTGCTCGAACGTTTACGACCGTCAATTTTCTCAAAGGCAATACCACCTATCTACACACGAAGCTATTAGGTTAGAGGATAGGATATATAGGTTTCTCCCCTCTTCTCCCCCACAATTTGTAAGTTTGCCAACGCCCGCATTGACGATCGTAATGGGACACATTCACCGTTACGAAATTTTGCACGAGAGCGGCGGCAGGCTACTCGTCGCAATTAAGTTCTCTCCTTCTCTCTCGAGATCGAATGGAAAAAGGTTCTTCTTCTTCTTCTTTTTCTTCTTGCTCTTCTTCTTCTTCCTTGGCCAATAAGCGGATTACACGCGGGGGCGGAATTTCAAACAGACGGCATGATCAATTTTTGCAAACTCGAGCCGCGGAGAGCCGATCGACATTACACATCTCTTCCACTTCGTGTCTGATCTAGATTTCGTAGATGTATACGCATGATCCGGGTCACGCAGGGTACTTACCTATTCGCGATAATATGTGCGAACGGATTCGCACTCAGGTTACCGTCGCAATCACGTCGGGAAGCTGCGCGTGGTAAAATCACGAAACATTTAAGTCGTCATCGAATCCACCATGCTCCCTCGTTTCTCCCCGGGAGAGATAACGGGGAGAGAGATTCTCAGGGCGCACACGGCGAAAGATTGATTTACCGCGCATCCGCCGATGAATAATTTCTTTCTTTTTTTTTATTTTTTTTGCACCACACACGGGCGGATCTTTTTAACAAGCGCGGCGGCGGCGGCGGCGTAACGCCGGTGAGGTTATTTTTCATTCCATCCCGCGCGCGCAAATTCTCCCTTTTAGTTTCCCCGAAAGTCGATCGATGTCAAGAGCATTCATTAAATTTACAGGCGGGTTCTCGTTTTTCGCTATCGGGGAGCTTTATTACCGGATTTATTGGATACCGCCGGGCGCATATTGTTTGCCGCGCGTTGTATCGGTTTCCGGCAAATATTTTCCTTCGTGTAAGGGCGGCCGCGAACCGCGTGGAAATTGAAAGGGAGCCGCAGACACGTAGGCAGGCTCCCGCGCCCCGGAATATATTCTCGCGAGAGTTTAGGGCGTGCGGCGCGCGCGGAGGCGCACGATGAGGCTGATTTCGTTGCGGGAGGGAACGCTCTCGACGGGGGTTGATAGCTGCCGGAGGGTGGCTTTTTTCGACGGGGCCGGCCATCGTGTCTGCCGGCAGATATGGCGCCGGAAGACACCACTCTCGGGAGGACGCGGTCTCCCTGTGCGTCTGCCTCCGTTCGTGAACGGCGAACATCGATCGCGACCGGCCGAAAACACCCGGCAGAATCCCCGTCCCCACATTTGTTCGCGACTTGTTCGTAATTTTACGTTCTTCCGTTTTCACCGCGTGTACAAACGGTGAGAATATCATACGTGTACGTAGACGTACTCTGATATCCAACACGCCGTGTCGTAATTTCAGTGATTCTTCACGCGCAGTTTCGCCACTTTTTGCAAAAATACAACCGCGCGCGCTCGCATACACACGTACACACACACACACACATACATACACACAAACACGCACAAACGCAAAGATCGTTCCCGTCGCGCGCGCCACAAACTATACTGTATTTAAAGTTAATCGAGATCGATGTGCACAATCTATTGAGGATAGCAATATTACGGTTTCTTCCGACCCTTCCCCCGACGCAGCGTCGCGGATAGCGTTCTTTTTCGGGAGCTTGCGCGAGCCAAGCACAGCAAGTTGAAAATTGAGAAAATCCTTATTTGTAATTAATTACACACACAGACACACACAGACACACGCGTCTCTCGATATGTAAGAAGAAATAAGAAACGATCATCGACTCCCGGTCCGCACGATACACGATTCTAGATTAAGACAATCCAATCCGTAGCTTGTATCATCGTTATTACTGTAATGCAGGCACGATGAGCTCGTGAGAGGAGTGTGAACCGACGCAAACGTAGTGAGACCACGCGTCTCGTAGGTGTCACGATATACGCTCGGAGGAGGCGAAGCAGAGAGAGAGAGAGAGAGAGAGAGAGAGAGAGAGAGAGAGAGAGAGAGAGAGAGTTTGTGTGTGTGTGTGTGTGTGTCTGTGTGAGTGTGAGAGTATGAAGGTTCGCGTTAGTATTTATCACTATTAATGTAGACGTACTCGCTGTGAAATGAGCGGACCGAAGAGGCGGATTCGTCCTTCCATGGCCAATGATGGCGATTAACGTTGGTGCTCGCAGTAACGAGGAATTCGGGAATCGAGAACTCGCTAATCGTCGTCGCGCACACGATCGAGGTACACACACCCTTTCGATTTCGCTGTATAAAAGTGACTGTAAGATAGCAGATTTGTTACTCTCTCTAGACCTGGTACTGTAAATTAGAAATAATTAATGCCCCACCGCTGTACATATATATATATATATATATATATACACAGACAGATACACACAATACACACACGCTCACGTAGATAAATATCAGATGAATTCCAGAATTACGTTCGTACGTACCCATCTTATAAACTACACAACATCTTATCCGTGTATTCAATGTTTTCCCTTTCACCGAAGTGACGACTTCGTTACTTACACCGTGCAGCAGCAGCAGCAGCAGCAGCAGCAGCAGCAGCAGCAGCAGCAACAGCCGCCGCAGCAGCAGCAATAGCAGAAGCAGCCGCAGCAGCAAAACTTCAATAAAACCGAATGATCTGAGCCTACATTTATTCACCCATCAGTTCGCAAATCATAGTCGAGCGTGTGACGAGCCTTTGTTTCGCGGACGAGTTTTGGAACGAATCTCGCGTAAGAGACGCGCACGATGCAAATTGCTGACGAGGACACCGAGAAGAGATCACGATGATTTCGCCATAATACGCTTGATTTTACACATGATCTCGCCGCATGTTATTTCGAGGGATCGCGCTTCGCTTTATGAAACTACAATTTTTCTCGCGCGTCAGCGAGAAGCGCCGGTTGCATTATGGAATTTTTACGACAATTATCCGCGTAATCATAAAGTTAAATTTGATGATCTCATTATTCGCGATAAACAAGGTAATGACGTAGCTTTTAAATCGCAAGGAAAGAGAGAGAGAGAGAAATAGAGCACGCCAACCACCTGTGTGGCCTTATCGGGCTTTCCACGGGGGCAAGGGGGGATCACGTATGCGTGATCCATTTAATCGATGCATTTCGATCACCATCTCTCGGGGTTGCAGCACGTTTTTTAGTAATTGAGTCGCACCGCACGATCGCGTCGTATAATTAGTCACTGATTCGTAGGTGTGGAAAAAACGGTGTGAAAACAGCGACTGGATATTTCCGAATTTTATCTCGTTCCAGAACTCGGCCGGCTTTTTTCTTTTTTTTCTTTTTTACCGAAGGGCGACATACATCTGATATTTCTGTCGCGATATTCCGACTCGCGAGGCGCCAACTCTCTTTTCCTTTCTCGCGACAACGCGCCGCACGATCGTTTCGTCGAAAAATGCCGACACTGCGCGCCGTAATAAATGTAGGTGACGAACGCACTACGATTAATCAGCAGCCAATAGATAACCGTGAACGATGTAACGTTGTGTTAAACAGTATCGTGTGAAGCATGTAAAATCACGCCACCCGGAGCAGCGTTTCGCTCGTTTCTCGTCGGCGTTTACACGGTCACGTAGGGCTCGTGTAAACTTGTTGAACGTTTGTACGCGAAGAGAGCACTTAACGCGGGGGAATGTACTGTACATTAGTGTAAATTTATATTTTTGGATGAAAACACAAAGAAATGAAGAGGAAGCGCGAGTCGCGTGCGCTGGAGGAATCTTTCGGACGGAGCCGGAGAGCGCCGCCGTAGAATCGATCTCGCAATCGATCAATTCTCAGTTTCGGGACGACCTTCCCTTCTTCAGTCTGCCAATACCACTTCCTTGTTACGAAAATTTCTACGCGTCTAACGCACAAAAGGGGACGGAAAAGTTCCTCCAACGTTGAATTGTAGGTGCGTTTCTTTCACGGAGTTTTTCGTGAGACCAGAATCGTGTAGAATATTTTTTCTTTTGCTTTTCTTAAAGGCATCAACTTCGAAATATTTTACGACTTTGTTGTTGTTTGTACGAAAGTGCCATATTATGATTTCGTGAGTGAGTAAGACAGGGGAAAATATGCAAATTGATAAACGAAAACGATACGAGACGCCCAGAATTTCGGAGAATCCACGAAACAATTTGTTGGAATTTTAAAAGTAATTAAATAGCGCATCAAATATGTCTCCTTGGGGAGGGATAAAGAAATAACATTGGATTATCGAGAAAAAAAAATAAACCGTGGTAACGCGTATTCATCGGTATTCACACTATGATTATTCGAGAAAGTACTCTAAAATGAATTCAATATGCGTGCTCGCTGTGTATATGCGGTCGCGTACGCGTCCACATGAAGGATTCTCCACAAACAGGCGCTGCACTTGCAACAGGCTGTGCATTTCGCGAAGAGAGTGGATTAAAGTAATTCTCATTTATTACGTTACCTTTGTAAATCTACGTTTGCACGTAGAACTTTTGCGAAACCGAACGTTACCGCGCAATTTTATGCATGCGAAATACGTGCCGACGGAATTATGTTTAATCGTTATACACACACGCACACATACACGCACACGCATACACATAAACACACACACAAACAACACACACAATCGACACGACGCGGAAGTGGTTACGCGACTTTCTTATTATCTGTAATAATATTACTAATAACGACTACAGTGTATGAGTATTAACAAATTTATTAATGAGAATAATATATTATTGCGACAGTAATCTATATAAGTGTTGTGAATAATGAGATAATATTGTTGCTGTGATTAACTTTAAGATTGTAAGTAGTAGGAAATATAGAACCACTGTTAGGTGTCACTGTCTCGACTCAATAAATGTTATTTCATTTTAACGCCAAATCATCATTCTTTATTCATAACGTTATAATATATTCTGTCCCATATTATAAGATTATTTTACATGCGTAAGCTCTTACAAAGTAGCAGCATGAATAGATTGTTACTATGATGAAAAAATCACAACGGTGACGCACAACTGACGAACATATTTTATATAACACACGTGACATTGTTTTACAGATCTTAATACGATTTTTTAACAAAATAAACGAAGCACTTTGAGCATATTAAGATACGAATAGCATGTTTGATACTCCGAATAACTCAAAGTAGCAAAATACAAAATCAAATATAAAATGTTCAATATCATCTTTGTGCATCACCGCCAATCTTACATTCTATTGAAAGAAAATATTTTATAATCTCATCAATTACTCTTAAAGAAAATATCACATTTCAATATTTGGCACGATATAGTGTGATAATGTGGCATTATGTATATATTTACGTTATGACGCTAACTGAACGTATAAACTGAAATAAAAAAAAGAAAAAAAAAACGCAAGTGAACACAGTCAGTATAAATTATTATGGACATTATTGTTTAAACAAAATGAAATAATAATGAAACATATAAACTAAAAGAAAAAATTCCTAAAAAATAGTAAATATTTATTTAATGGCTACTAATAACGTATTTACTTAAATCTATATTTTTTTATTTAAATAAATATAACTGTTTTCATAAAAAGCTAAGGGTTTTTTTTCAAGGAAACTTATGCTTTTTATTTGAAAAATATATTACTACGAAAGTAAATACGTTATTAGTGTATCCAGCGAATAAATATTTACTATTTTTTTAGATATTTTTTTCTCTCCGCATCGGCGATTTCGCTTACAGATCTATCTGAAGAGAAGAAAGGTAAGATTACTGATGTATATTATTCGAGTGTAATTATACCGCATGTATATCTATCTTCTTCAGATCATCGCTTGTCGACTAACGCTCGTTGTAAACTCGGAAAGTTATAAAGAAAATAATAAAAAAATAAAAAGAAAACTCTTAAAAAGTAGCAGCATGAAATTGTTCTTAGAAAAATCACAACGGTGACGATTAATTGATAAACATATTTCATATAACATATGTGACCGTTGTTTTACAAGTCTTAATACGATTTTTTAACAAAATAAACGAAGCACTTTGCATTTTAAGGTACGAATAACACTGCTGCGAGATATCGCGAATAACGAATTTTAGTAATCAAAGTCGTAAAATACAAAATCTTTTGAAAAATGTTTCATATAGTCGACGTTTTCCCATCTTGTTCCATAGATACATTAAACAAAACGCATGTTTATTCTTTTTTCTGCAAATTGGTATATATGCTGTGCAAACAATTCTATTTAATTGTTTTCTTTACGGTTACCCCAACAATGCTTGTGTTTCACCAGTCACACTTGAGAAAGGTTTACTTACCTGAGCGCGACATATTCTAAAGAATCGTAGTAGTATCAGTACAATCCAGATGCATATCAAAGTCAAGTCTGAAAGCAGGGCAGGTTAATGTTAAGCACAACTTCTGCACGAAGGGAGAGTAATGTAGACGTACCTTCACCCTGAATAGGCGGATACACGAAGGCCGAACAAAATTTAGGTATAGTGATTCTCCTGATCATAGTGATGATGATGTACTTTAAGTTGGTGTTGGTGTAGTAATCGAGCGCGATGATCAGGAGAAACGAGCCGAAAACTGCGCGTGCAATTATCTCGGCGACTTGGAACGTTATCATTAGCAGCATAGCGAGCGCGAGCACCAGGCTCACGAAGATGGTCCAGAATGACCAGTCATATTGCAGAACGTAATACATCCCCGCTATCGAAATAACGAAAATCCCCAAAGAGGAGAAAACATCAAGTCAGAAGTGAGAATATACTCGAATTTTCGTAATTAACGATTTCGCGACAAAACGGAACTTCCGTCGGATCCGGTTCGCTGACGGATGCTTCCCGTTACATGATAATCGACCGTTTTACATCGGTGAACAATGTCGGCCCGCAGAGTAAACAATGCGATCGCGATCATCTGTCGGCCGGGTGGGACACGAGGAGGGAAGGGTAGATCGGACCGACTCGTCGTCTAGTTGCGCATGCACGCACCGTGTAATCTAAATAGGTCCCGGCGCAAAATAAATACGGGGACACAATTAGGTAAATGCGAATCTTCCAAGCTGGTTATACCCGTGCCGTGGGAGTTCGCGCCGGCCGAGGGGAGAGCCCGAGAGAAAGAGAAAGAGAGAGAGAGAGAGAGAGAGAGAGAGAGAGAGAGAGAGAGA